AAAACATATAGGAGAAGCTTCACGGCACATCAGGTGTGATGAAAGTCTATGAGAATATATTGATACCAGATCCTCTTATTTTGGAAAGGCTTTGATCTGGCATATATAAATTCCTTTATCCTCTTTGAGAGATTAAAAGATGTTGCATGTGAAACAAATAATGTACCGTTTTAACAACAGCACTATCAACACAGTTTTCTTTTTCAGAACTGATGACAACTACTGAAATCTATTACTGCTTATGCATTTCCCTGCAGACTACTGCAAAGATCTTGTGAAGATATATCGGAATTATAGGCTGTTTGTAAAATTACAGACATTTAGACAGTCTTATTATGTATCCTTCAGTTTAATTACACAAAGTGAAATAGTCTCGAAATGATGAATCATTATTATCTGAAAGATCCATCTATTCAAATATCAATTGTAGTCTAATAATAGGCAAGAACTGAACAGTATTTCAGGAAAATAGCAACCTCCACATTGGAAATGTGAATTTAAAAATAAAATAAAGACAACAAGATTGGGAGACTGAGGACGATTGTAACATTTTTCACATTCCTCTCTATTTCTTTGAAAAACATTTTTAAATAAATAAATTCTAGCTCCCTCTACGTGCCACATTTTAAGAAAAGATTAGAAGACATGAAAATAAACTGTTGCTTCCAACAACAGAATGAAGGCTGAAGGTCTTGATAAACCTCAATGCAGCAAAAATAAATAAATAAATCCTCCAGTCAGGAAATGTGCAGCTCAGATTGATGAAACATGTTCTTCCTCTAGGTGACTAATAAATTACTTCGTAATTGCTTCTGGAACCCCTTTTTCACAATGCAAAACAGGCATTAAAATGTAATGACCCTCAACACCATAGATTCAGTAATCCGGCTCTTGTGGGTAGAAGCTCTGAACTCAGTGTGCAAATTACTGTACCCATTAAAATCTCAGAATCCTTATAATCGTTTTAATTGCCATGAGTAATGACTCAATCCAGACCACAGTTATAAACCACAACTATAAGTGTTAGTAACATTTGTGTAGCCGACTAAATATTACAAACTTGTTTTTAAATTGACAGACAGAGATTTTGGTATTTTGATGGCATATTTTTTTAAACACTAAGCTGCGTAACGCTTCATTCCTTCCCTTAAATAGATTTAAAAGTTAAAGACTGGGGTCAAACCGTATTAAGGAATGCAGTTGGAGGAAATAAGTAACTATTTCTCTTCTCATACCATCTCTGTCTAGCAAACAGTACATTCTTACTTACATGCATTCTTGAGTAACATGTCCGATTTAACTCATAAACTGTTATCACTAGAGCTCGCAATGATAGAGACATGCTTATATAATGTTATTCAAGTCTGCATGACTGGAAAAAGAGAACATTGAAAGAGTTTTTTTTAGCATCTTGTGCTAGTATATATTGACGTTGAATTATTGAACATTATGTTGTCAAGACATTTCTGTTTAAAGTGTGTGTGGGTTGGTGTCTCATGAGATTCCTTTAGAAATCTATGTGGGTTGCTTTCATGTACCAACTAAATCCAATGCACGCTTTTCTTACTACAAAGTCAACAGCTGAACAACTCTCACGTGTATATTTCTGTAATGGCAAATAGTGTGCAAGCATGTCAGAATAAGGTATTTTAAGGTGCACAAGGTTATTTCAGTGAACAGAAACAGTTCATTTATGACACCATTTCTAACTAGTAAGCGCACTTGAAAACATTGGTTTCATTGGAGATCAATAGGCCTAAAGAGGAACTGCCTTCACCTCTTCACCATCTTTGAAGAAACAGCTTTGATTACAATATTGCCTCTCAAATGGCACCATTTGTTGCCTAATCGTTTGACTCTTATATGCCTTAAATGTTTTATTCTCTGCATTAAGGTGTTGAAAATGCAGTTGTAGGGCTCTGTGGATTAAGCATAATAATCAGCATAATCTGCTTTATTTACTTTTAGGATATATGTAGGAAAAATTGCCTTTTTTTTAAAGAAAAAGTGTCTTGTTTTACAATATAAATAATAATAATACATATAGATATACAAGTATGCCTTAGCAATCATGCACTGATACTATTCACCACACAAAAAATTATCAGGAAAACATAAATCCTCTCATTTATGACCAGGTTTTTGTTTTTAAATCAATGACCTTCTCTGTCTGATTAAGATATGATACAAAGTTGGTCTCAGACCAGACAAGAAGCACTGCATTAAATTCCATTGTTTAATGTCATGACTTTGCGGATAAGCTACCTTTCATCTTGTTTTAGGTTTGAACAGCTAAATTGACACTTACATCTATATAACGGTTAATATTTGAATGAATTTACATTATCGTTGCTGAAAAAACAACCTTCTGAAGTTGAAAATAGTCACAACAACCTTTAACTGCAAGTTTATTGGTGGCTGAAAAACACTTACTGTGCATACCCCTTTTCAGTGAATGGCCAATGGGGTATATGCACATGGATTTTTAAATTCAGTCATACGGCCCCAGGGCTTCCAGTGAATTGTCACCTGAAGATCTGATTTCTTTAAAAAACAGAGATTATCACTGCCTGGCTGAGATACAATACACTCAGAAATTAAGGTGCACAAGCTGTCACTGGGGTGGTACTTTTTAACAGATACAAATTTGAAAGGTAAATGAAAGGATCATATTAACACCACAAGGGTACAGTACCTAAACGCTACAAAAGTGTTCCTCTTAAGATTTTTAGGTACTAATATATACTTTGAGGTACCAATATAGACCCTTTAAGTACAAATGTGTACCTTTTAAAAAGGTACCAACCAGTGACAGTTCGCAAACCTTCATTTCTGAGAGTGTATAAAAGGGGGTTTTAGACCAAACAAGAAGCACTGCATTAAATTCTATTTCTCTGCACCATGTCTTTAAAATATGGAATTTAATTTTACCCCAGTATTTTCAATATAGTATTTGTGTCTTTTGTCTCTTTTTATGCTTTAACACCTAAATAATGCTTAAGTCTGTTTAACTAGTTGTAATTTTATTAAATTACAACATCGATACTGTAAAAGGAACCTTATAAAATTGAAAATAGTCACATCCTTTCACTGAAAGTTCAACAATGGCTGAAAACACTAGCTGTGCATACACCATTCTACATGTTGAATCAGGACAACTAGATTCCACGTTAACCTGATGAGAGTCAACCAGTGGAGTACATTAAACCAACTGATGAAGCCCAACTGTCAGCTTAATGTGTCCCTTCTAAATATGCACACAGCATGGTGTACTCTGTAATACATGTGTGCAAAATAATCATATAAAGGAACCTAAAAGTACTAAAAAATATTTCCTAAAAATGTACCACAGTCAAATCTCTATAGCCATTATTTCAGAGGTTCAGGTAATCAAAGCCAAAAGTCTGCTAACAAAACAGATGATATTTGACACTATATTTGCATATGTGACATCATGTTATTTTGGGATCTAAGTATGCTGCACAAAAACATCAGACCTAATGTCTATTCATGAAGGGTGTCACCTTCCATACAGATGTGAATTGAAGGCTGAGTCCACTAGGTGGTACTGCACATGTGGTAATCTTGTCTATACTTTGTAAACTATGCAAAACTGAGAAGGAATGCTTGAAAAATGTATACACAGGCCTTAAGAGTCACTTTACTTGAATTTTAGTCTTTTGTGTTATGAAAAACTAGCCACATCATGCACACTCAAAAATGCAAGCCTTTTCAGAATATCCTGCTAAATAAAAATTTGGCTGGTTGAAATGGAAGCACTACAGCAATAACATTTAGCCAATGAAGAAGTCACTTTCTCTCATTGTGATTGCTGGTTCACCGATATGTTGTTTTCATTAAACAACATGAAAACATGATACATGAAATCAAAAATTGTGGTAGGGCCACATTTCCTTAGGTATAAGAGTTTTTTTTATTTCTTTTCAGTTTTGCCATTTTGTTCTAAATATTATAGCACATTTGTGTATTTCTTTTTGTGGTCAAAATTATTGGCACCCTTGATAAATATGAGCAAAGAAAGTGGAATTTCCTTAAGTTAAAAATAAATACCTATTAAAAAAAAAAA